ATCCGACCTCGATGGGCAATAGGGCGTCCATTCCGTAAACCATGTGGAATGGTGATTGCCCTGTTGAACTTCTCGGGGTCGTCCTATAGGCCCATAGGACCGTTGTCAGCTTGTCGACCCAGGCACCAGATGCTTTTTCTAGTCTTTTCTTTAGCCCTTGCAAGATGGTTCTGTTTGTCACTTCGACTTGGCCGTTCGCCTGAGGGTGCGCAACTGAGGCGAATCGCTGCTTGATCCCCATGTTGACACACCACGCCTGGATCCGCTTTCCATGAAATTGCGTCCCATTATCCGAAATCAAGATCTTTGGGATCCCAAATCGACAGCAGATATTATTGAACAGGAAATGTATCATTTTGTCTTCAGTGATTTTTGCCAGAGGTTCTGCTTCTACCCATTTGCTAAAGTAGTCGACGACAACCACCATAAATTTTCGTTGCCCTGTTCCCATTGGCAACGGGCCTACCAAGTCAATTCCCCATTGAGCAAAAGGGATCGGGCAGCTGATTGTCGTCATTGCTTCGGCTGGAATGTGGGGGATCTGTCCATGGCGCTGGCATCTATCGCATCCTTGTACTAATCGTTCGGCTGCCTTTCGAATCTTGGGCCAATAATAGCCTGCTCGAAGGGCTTCGCCAGCTAGGGCTCGTGATCCCATATGTGCTCCGCAACAGCCTTCATGGATTTCCTTCAAGACATCATCCCCTTCTTTTTCAGAAATGCATCGCAGGTGGGGTCCGATCATTGACTTCTTATACAAGACTCCTTCGATCTCAAAATATTTACTCAAATATCGGGCTGCTTTTTCAGCCTCCTGCTTATCTCCTTCTGGCACTCGACTTTGTAATAGCTCACGGATTGCTCTTCGCCAATCTTGGTTTTCGTCGACCTCCATTGTCTCACTCAGGACACTTCCCTCCAAGTGTAGTGTGGTAACATGATCCCCCATTTTTCCTTCATTCGAGCTTGCAATTCTTGCGAGCCAGTCGGCTCGCTTGTTCTCTTCTCGAGGTACTTGCGTTAGCTCAAAACTTTCTAAGCCTTGCACTAAGCTCTGAATTTCTTCGACATATTTTATCATCCGATCCTCTTTGATTTCGCAGTTTCCCAATACTTGCCCCACAACCAGTTGTGAGTCAGAATGTGCCATGATTTCCGTCGCTCCGCCCACGATTTCCAGTTGGATCCCTTTAATTAGAGCCTCGTACTCTGCCTCGTTGTTCGAGGCCTTAAATCCCATTCTGATGGCAAAGTCGAGCTGTTCGCCTTCGGGGGATACCAAGGCCACTCCCAGACCAGACCCTTTGGCTGACGAGGATCCGTCGACGTGCATTATCCATTTCTTGCTTGCTCCTCTAGTTCCTTCTTGGATAAAGTCGGCTAGAGCTTGGGCTTTTATAGCTCGTCGAGGTTCGTACTTGATGGAAAATTCTCTAAGTTCCACTGCCCACTTTACGAGCCGACCCAAAACGGTAGGTCGACCCAGGGTCTCTCCGAGCTGGAAATTCGTCCTTACTATTATCACATGGTTCTGGAAATACGGCCTTAATTTTCTGGCTGTGAGTACCAATGTTAATGCGGCCTTTTCGACTTCGGAATATCTTGCTTCTGCTCCTTGAAGTACTCGACTTGTATAATAGATTGGCTGTTGGGCCCCTCCAGCTTCTCTCAATAATACCGAGCTTAGAGAAAATATTCCCACCGAGATATAGAGCACCAATTCGTCGCCCGGCTCAGGCTTTGTTAACAACGGTAGTTCGCTCAAAAACTCCTTCAACTTTTCAAATGCCATTTGAGCCTCGTCATTCCACTGAAAAGCTTTTTTCTTAAGTAACTTGAAGAATGGGAAACTCCTTTCCGCAGCTCGAGCTATGAATCGACTTAGGCCTGCAATTCGACCTGTCAGGACTTGCACTTCTCTAACGTTCTTTGGCGGAGCCATGTCGAGTATGGCTTGCACTTTGTCCTTATTTACTTTGATGCCTCTTTCAGTCACAACATAGCCTAGGAATCGTCCTGCCCTCACTCCAAAGGCACATTTACTCGGGTTTAGTTTCATTCCAAATATTCTTAATGTCGTAAACGTTTCCCTCAAATCCTCCACATGCGAGATCGAGGACCTACTTTTCACCAAGATATCGTCCACGTAAACTTCCATATTTCGTCCGATCTGTGATTTGAACATTCGATCCATCAACCTTTGGTATGTTTCCCCCGCATTTTTAAGCCCAAAAGGCATGACGACATAGCAATATGTCCCCTTGCTCGTCACGAAACTAACTTTGCTTTGATCCTTAGAAGCCAACGGAATTTGGTGATATCCCTGGGACGCGTCCATCATATTTAGAAATTGACAGCCAGCTGTAGAGTCGACCAGCTGGTCGATTCTCGGCAGGGGGTAGTGGTCCTTTGGGCAAGCTAAATTTAAGTCGCGAAAATCGATGCACATGCGCCACTTCTTTAGCGCTTTTCTCACCATCACTGTGTTTGATATCCATTCGGGGAATTGAATTTCTTTGATATGTTTGGCCTTCAGCAACTTGTCCACCTCAACCTCGATTGCTTTATCGATCTCCGCCCCGTGACATCTAAGACGCTGCTTCACAGGTTTTTTGAGAGGGTCGACATTAAGTTTATGCTCCATGACATCGGGGTTGATTCTCGTTAAATCTTCGGGGGAAAAAGCGAATATGTCCCTGAATTCTTTCAGGAGTCCCACCAACTGTCGACGCAACTCATCTTCCAATTCTCGCCCTATTTTAGTGGTCTGTTCCCCTTTTTCCCCGATTTGGATTTCCATTAATTCTCCATGTGGCTCTAGGTCACTCTCCCTTTGTCTTTTTTCCTTTGACATCGGCTTTTTTCCTTCTTTTACCTCCGTCCGTTGGTTTGTTCTCACTGCTATCTGGTAACAGGTTCTCGACAATCTCTAGTCTCCTCGAGCCTCCCCGACTTTATCTCCCACGGGGAATTTTAGTTTCATATGGTAGGTTGATATTACTGCTTGGAATGTGTTGAGTGCTGGCCTTCCCAGAATCACATTATAGGCTTACTCGACGTCGACTACGACAAATCGTACCATTTTCACTTTCCTTAAGTCGCCTTCCCCCAGGACGACAGCAAGCGTGGTTTCTCCTAGGGGTGCGACTTCCGGGCCATTAAATCCAAAAAGTGAAGTGTGTAGGGGTGAGAGCTCGATGTCGAGTTCCATCCGCTTAAGACAATTGTAAAAAATCACGTTCACCGAGCTTCCCGTGTCGACGAAGATTCTTTGTACTTCATAGCCTGATATCTGAGCTGTGATCATTAGGGCATCGTTGTGAGGTCTCTCGACTTCTCCCATGTCTACTGGTCCAAAATTCATCACTGGACCGTTTTCCTCGACCTGTTGCACTTCGATTTTTCCGTGGTTCCCTCGAGCATATGCCTTTCTAGCCCGATTCGAATCTCCATCAGTCGGCCCTCTGAATATCATGTGAATTACTCCTCTTTTCTGAGGGAGCTCCTCCTTGTCGGTTGTCCTTGCTCTCTTGTGAGGGCTTTTGCTTCTCTCCCTGCGCCGACTGGTTCGCTCTCGATCCTTATAAATGAATTCCTTCAAATGGCCTGCTTTGATTAGTCTCTCAATCTTATTTTTTAGGTGCCGACATTCACCGGTATTATGGACGTAGTCTTTGTGAAATCGACAATACAGATCGCTTTTAGGTTTTGTCGGCCCATCCTTTCTCGTCCGTGGCCACCTGACAACATTGTCACGAATTTCTTTCTCCATAACCTCCAGTATCCTTGCATTCGAAGCTAACAGGAGAGTATATTGGGCTGTCCTCCATCCCCTTGATCGTCCTTCTCTTTCAGACCTCGGGGATCCCTTCCTTTCAGTCGTCGCGACAGGCTTTTTATCCTTCTTCTCGTCCCGAGGCTCAGTTTTTGACTTAGCTGCTTGCAGAAAGTCAGCTTCAGCTTCTTTAACATTCATGTATTTGGCGCATCTTCCTAACACCTCATCGAACGTCCTCCCGGGTCGCTTTGCTAGGGAGTTTCTGCATAGCCCTGGGAGCAGTCCTCGAGTGAGCCCTCCTGACTTGATTTTCTCGGTGGCCGAGGGGACATCGACGCATGCCCGTGTGTACCTTGCCACATAATCCCTCAATGATTCCCCTTCTTTCTGTTGCATACCTATCAGAGTAAGGTAAGACTTTTCTTGGGCTTTTACACTTGCGAATTGGTTTAGAAAGCTCGAGCTAAATCCGTCAAAGTCCCTGACGGCTCCTGGGGGCAATTGATGAAACAATCCTGTGCTGGTCCTCACAGGGTCGTCAGGAACGCTCGACACTGAACGGGGTCGTTATAACGGTGCAGTACTGCCATGTTTTCGAAACTCCTTAGATGTCGAGAGGGATCAGTCGACCCGTCATACCAGATGTTGAGCTCCCTGAACCCCTGAGGCAAGTCGTCATCTAGAATATTTTATGAAAAAGGGTGTCCCCTCGAGCTTCCCATTTTTCTTCCTTCCACTCGAGCCTGCAAGTCTCAGACCTGCGCTAACAGCTGCTCCAGGGTGTCGTTTCTGGCTTGTGGATTAACAGTTCTAACAGAGGACTCCTCTTCATCTACCCTCCAGTTCTGCCTCTCATGTGATTGCGTCTGTTGTTCGCGTTCAAGGGGTTGCTGCTCATTTTGAGGTTGTTCGACCCTAGCTTGCTCGATTCGGGGTTGTTCGACCCTGGGTTGCTCGACTGGTGTTTGTTTGATTTGGGCAGCTACAGCTTCGGCGATCATCCTCTGCATCTCGCTCCGTGTTATGGTTAACATTTGCTCCTCACTTTGGGGCAGCGGTCTCTTTCCTGGCTCGAGCGGTCCAGGCTGCTTTCCCAGACTTAGGAACGTCTCGGTTGACTCACGACCGTTGACTTCTCCGCTCGTGCTCCTCACGTGACTGGCCTCTCCTTGAGTGAGCACTGGGATCTTGACTCCTGGTGGGGTGATAGGATTTTCCTCCCCCATACGCCCACCTGACGGCGCGTGTGCCCCAAACGGTGGGAAACCGAACACTTGGAGCGGCGGCTTGGGGTTGGGAATCGGCGGGGGTCGCTTATCTGTCCATGCGGCCCTGAAATCTTCATTCAAATTTTTCTGCAATCCTTCCTTCTCAGCCATCGGAGACAGATCCAAACTAGGTGCAAAGCTCTTAATTCCTTCAAGAACTCCCCACAGATGGCGCCAAATGATGGGTCTATTCTCGGATCTGGGGTGAACCGGTGGAAAATCGCCCGAATCTGGAATGAACCGATGAGAACGAGCTCAGATCTGTCTTGATGGTCTCCAAATTGCTATCGAACTGCGAGAACACCTGCAAGAACTCAACGCCGGAAGGATTTTCGGCGTAAGGCCTCCGACGCTCAAGTCAGTATGTGAAAAGAGTGAAAAGAGCTGCTCTGAGGAAGCAGCAGCAATGGAGGAGAATGTGGAATGAATGGGAGTTAGGGTTTTGGAGTTACCTCAGCTCCTTTATATAGAAGCAAAACATTTACCTGAAGTCCCCAAAATGCCCTAGCCGACTTACTGGAAATGTCCAAAATACGCTGGTCAGTTCGCATTCCGTCCACTTCCTAGTCAGCATCTAGATTCTTCCTTATCTTTGGTAGCTTCCTTCTTATCCTTGACAACTGTCCTTCGATATGTTGAAGTGCACTGGAGTCGTCGAGATCTTATGAGCTTCAAGACTTCCTCAGTCGACTCGGGATACCAACTCAAGTCGACTGGGCCATATTCAATTGTTAGTAGATCCTCACGCGTTTGACCGTCTTCCAAGAGGAAATCCACTTATGCTAGTCGACATGTGGAAGTCGACTGGGAGAAATGCC